GTCAACAAATGTTCTTTTTGGACTACGGAGGAATTTTTCAGTTCTGAAAGTTACAGTAGTACATCAAATATGTGACTCCTCAAAATACAACCCATTTTTAAGATGCCTGCTGTTACATATGGGTCACAGGTGTAGTGCAGAAATAACCTTGAAACACAGCATTCATTAAGACCTGCGTCATTCCTTCTGCATGCCTTGCTTTAATGGGATATACAGTACAGTGATAATGGATTCCAAGCCATTATGTATTTCATTTCCTATGAATGATTGCTGGAAAACAGAAGAATATCTATGAAAAACTGCAAAATTGCTCAAGATGTTCACAGTCCTTTAAAAAGCAGAGTGAGATGTATGGATGAAGATGCATGAAATTAAAGCTGTGGTTGTAAGTGAATATAATGACAGAGGAAAAGTACTATATGTCCTACATTTTATAGTTTGATTTCCCCATGGACCCTGAACGCATGAAATAAAAAGATTCAATCAGTGATGGTAAAATTTTGTACATTGGCTCATGCGTAATATTCTGTGATTTTGCTCATTAATTAAGCAGCTGTTGAAATTTTGCAATTGACATCCTTGTTCTAGAGAGTTCCAGCCCAAGCAAACTTGTGCAAAAAAAAATTGTGGCAATGCTGCATTTCTCCCCGTCAAGTCGAAGCACACAAACGGCTTCATTTTATTTATCACAAATAGCGTTCTTATCTCAGACGAGTTCAGAATGAAACTGTTGCTTTAGTGTTGAGAATATTGGATTCTAAAATTAAAGATGACTTGCCTGATATGCCTTGACATTGCGTCTTTTGTTTGTTTCAGATAAACATTTCATTTTGAGATTGAGCAGAATGCAAGCTTATATACAGACGTTTCGCACATGCAAAGAAGTCAGCTTGGTTTATTTCGATGTTAACACTGTCAAGGAATATTATTTAAATGTGAACTGTACATTTGCTTATTGATCATACTACTTTTGGTCAACCACTTGACAAACCTGTTAACTGTTTCATTCATATTTGATGTTAAACTATGTTTTTACATTTTCTATAGAAAACTACAAAACAGCCACAATGCTGGGTGGCTTTTATAGCATTCTGGTTTGGTTGCTAGGATGTTCTAGGCAGCTGCTAGGTCAAAATAACCCACTTACAGTGAATTATTTTGTCTGTTTTGATCAAGTCTGATCACTTCGAAAAGCAATAGAGCACCATAGGCATCATTCATGTCTAGGTGTGGCGAGTGTTTAATACTTAGGGTTTGGTGTTTGTATGAGCAAAAGCAATATTTTCAAGGTGATATTTCAGCAGCTGTATTTTTGAATTCATCTGTGTGAATTGAAATGTAAGCTGTCAGGCTGTTCAGCAAGCCATCTCATGTGCAGAGGTAATGGAGACAATCAACCTTCAGTTTTACAGGGACGTTTCATGAGGAACATTTGAAGTTGTCCTTGAAACTAGCTGGTAAAACAAAGATCAGTGTTATAAACCAGCTAATTATGAGAAATAGCTTACTCTTCTTTCATGTGCCACTCAGGGGCATTTCATAAGTGTATGCACTGTTTATTCTATTTAGAAGATTAGATTAACAGTAACACACTCTCTCGCTTTGTTTTTGAAAGAAGTCTCTTATGGTCCGCAAGGCTGTGTTTATTTGATCAAAAATACTGTACAGTAGCAACAGGAATTTTGTGGAAAAAAAATTAGAAAAATATAGAAAAAACATAAACATTAAAATCACTACATCATACATAAATGAGTTGAATACATCTTTTTTTATTATTAACATATCTCTAACTCCTGAACTAAAATTCATTTAGATTTTTTTTTTACCAGACAAATAATAATAAAAAAAAAAGTCCTGAGCTCATACTGAAAAAAGGGAATAAAATTCTTGAAAAGAAAACTTAGACATTGTTTTACTAAAATATTATTCCTGTTAAAAAACTAAACATACAAGACTGAAATAGTGATGAAAAGTCATAGAAAATCATTGATCAGAATCCCTGATGATGTTTAATCCTTTTAAAATGAGTGCTATGCTCTTATTGGTTACTTAAAGTGTAATCAAATTAGCTTAAATATGATATATTACAAAAAGTATATAATATTTTCAGAGTTTTCTGCACATTCCATGTGTCTCTGTCTATAGCTAACAATTGAAATATTGTGTTTTAGCTTCTCTTGATGCAAAACTAGACCCTAGTTCATTTGAGGTGACCACCTCACTCCAGCCTTGACAAGATTATACTTCAATTTGATTTTAGACTCAGTTCTGTAAAAGAATCACTACTGCTTTTAGGAAAGTCAGTTTAGCGAATAGACACGTGGTTTTTATTTGGACACAGATAGATTTCAGCATTTAGTGTAAGATGGTGTGTTGCCATTCAGTTTCGGAACACTCTTTGTGTTTGTGGCTTGTCTTTTTTCAGTGCATCTGCATTTTTGTCATCACAGCTGTAGAGGAGCTGTTTCATTAGCAGTAGTTTTGTAAATTCTCCCATAGCAATGAACTGCTTTAATTGGGTGCTAGATAGAGAGGAGTTTGAGCACATCATATTTTTTTACATCATTGGGGTCAGATGAGATGGTGGGATTGTAATTAAAGCTAACTGCTGTGTGTTCTTTCTTGTTGTTGAAATAAGCCAAAAGCATAATTTACAAACCCACTCTCAGACATTAAAGCACTAAGCCACTCAAATCAGTGGGCCACTCAATTCACTTATAATTGCATGGATTATTTATAAAACCACCCAGAGTATTATGTCTATGTGTAATTTTAGTTGTTCCTACATTTTTTACTCACTCACAAATTCATGTTTAGGCACAGTCACTGACTGAGACCCAGTGTGCTACAGTGATTTTCAAAAAAGAAAAAGAAAAGTGTAAAAAAAGTAAAAAATTGTAAATGTATTTTTTATATTGGTCTAATAGAAAATGATAGTTTCTGGTTTGAACCTTTTTTGTTCAGTTGGTCTAAAAGCAAATAAACCTTTGCATGGAAAAAAATAAAATAAATTATTTAAATAGTATACTTTTGCTTGATTATTGTGGGTTTTATTAATTTGTCTGGTATTTTTGTTTTGTAACAGAAAATATGATGCATATTCTGAAAAGACATCACAATAAACATTAACATCTTTCAAAGTTGTCTATATTTGTACTAGTACAGTTAATAACCTAAATTAAACCTTGACTAAAATGTTTTTAGTTTTATCTTAACTGAAAATTCTACTTTCATATTATAGATAATTTAGCTGTTGTTTATGGTGAAAAGTCCATCAGGCCAAAAAACGTATTACGTTGACCTACAATAAATAACCTTTTGGCTTACGTCCATGGGCATCAGAAGCAACAAAAATGTGGGTGGGTCCAACATAGTGTAAGTGTAACTGTAATTCAATGCTGCAACAAAGACTATATGATGCCTTTAAAAGCAACAGGTGAACAACTGATGAACATTCACTTAAATAGCAGCTTGTTTAAAAATAAAGGTGCTTCAAAAGGTTCTTCAAGCGATGCCATAGAACAGGGATCCTCAAATCTGGCCCACGAGATCCACTTTCCTGCAGAGTTTAGCTCTAACCCTAATCAAACACACCTGAGCAAGCTAATCAATGTCTTCAGGATCATTAGAAAATCACAGGTAGGTGAGTTTGATCAGGGTTGGAGCTAAACTCTGCAGCGCATTGGCCATCCAGGGCAAGATTTGAGGAACCCTGCCATAGAAGAACCATTTTTGGTTCCACAAAGAACCATTCAGTCAAAGGTTCTTTAAAGAACCATCTCTTTCTGGAGGGCCGGTGTCCTGCAGAGTTTAGCTCCAACTTGCCTCAACACACCTGCTGGGAAGTTTCTAACATACCTACTAAGAGCTTGATTAGCTGATTCAGGTGTGTTTAATTAGGGTTGGAGCTAAACTCTGCAGGACACCGGGCTTTACTCTGCTTTTGAAATAGACCAGCACCGTTCAGTGTTCCCTAGTGGCTCCAAGCACATCGGTCCGGCTCCCTTGCACCAGACAGACGTCCCACCAGCGCTCTCACACTAGTGCTGCTCTGACCTAATGACTCACTGCATCATCAGCTTCTGCATCACATAGCCTACAAACAGCAAACAGACTGTTCAGGACAAGCAAGAGAAACACAGTAGATACAAACATCATCAGTGTTTGCCAGTGAAACCACATCATCTGCATATAAATATAAAATAAAGTCTTTGATTGATGTATTTTCCTTGTTGTAACTGGCTACAAAGTCTGCAGTTGACTTTGCACGAGTGAACCAGAGCCTATTAAGCAATGAAACTTGTCGTGAAGCAATTTTAAACTCACAGGTTTGAAGTATTCTTGAGCAGCCATAGACCTGATACTGTATATTGGCTAGACAGATAAAACAGGGAGATGATAAACTGATCTATATTCGACCATTTTGAGATTATTATCAGTGAATAACTCTGCCCGCTCAGCTACCAGCCACCTTGTCAATACACAAATGCATGTCAATGCATGTTTTTTTTATTTTTTTAATTTCCAGTTAAAAAATTCCAGTTTAATTGCAGCATAGTATTAGGCATATCTCATTTGCCTTAATTAAATTGTATTGGCCTTTATCACATGCATTGTCATTACTTAAAAGAAAAGTAAAACAGTGGCCAATTAAGTAAATATTTATTTATATTTATTTCGGAGTTTTATAAAAACGCTGTCTGTCTCTGTGTATATTGGCAAGTCTTCAAATTTTTACTTCAGTAATCTTCCCACACCTGCTTAACACCCTCTGGCTCAGCCTGCTACAGTAGCCACGCCCCCAGACTCTTGCTATTGGTCGAGCTAGGATGATTGACGGATCTGAGCGGACCACTCTAAATGTTTTGATGGTGCCTAGATTCTCGAATTGCATATTTATAGTAGTCAATGAACAATAAACTGGGTTAAGAGAATGTATTTTGACATAAAAATTCTTAGAGCTTTAAGCGTTTACATGTCTGTGCTTGTGTGTTTGACAGGAGCTGGTTGGCAGTAGCCCTCCGCAGAGGAACTGGAAGGGAATCGCCATCGCCCTGCTGGTCATCCTGGCCATCTGCTCTCTGATCGTAACCTCCGTCATTCTATTCTCACCAAGTGCGTGCTGCTGTCCGCATGCCTCTCACATTTAATCATTAATACAAGTCTAAAATGCAAACAAAAAGTAGTTGTGTCCTCATTCCTGACATGTGTATTTCTTCACATAAACCTGCATTTGTTAGATCTTTGTATATCGTTAGTATAAACTCCCATTGTACAATGCAAATATACTAGTAAGCATGTTTAGGGCTGTCTAATTGCATATTATCATTGTTTACTTATCCATTTAGTTTTCTGGTTTAGATCAAAGCTATCCCTCTAATGAATAATGGGACTGTAATGTAGGTCATGCTGAGATCTAATTGAGAATACATTTTTAACAGTAATGTTTGTAGTCATATAAGCATTTGGCAAAACATCACAGGTAGTTTTTGTGTGTTGTTTGCCATGCTGTTTACTTCTCATATTAAAGATAAAACACAAATCTTCTCTGGAGCAGTTCATGTTCAGGATGGCGTAAAATGATTTAAATGTTTTTAAAAATTTATGTCATGCATTCAAATTTTAGTGCTTCAACAGACAACATTTCCAATTTTTAAGTTTGTTTTAAATCTAATATTTACATTTAATTTTTTTTTATTTTATTACTGTAAAATTTCCATATACTTCAACTTATAAACTTAAGTTCAGTTGCTGCCTTAAATTTTTAAGTATACTCAAATTGGCTGTACATGTTATTTCAATCTAAATGATATTAAACTGACTTAAATTATTAAGTTATGAAAAAATTAAGATGAAGATAAAATGGTTAAATTAATGTGATGAGTAAATGGAAAAAAAAAAAATATTGTATGTTGCCATGACTCAAATCATTTTTTTAAGTGAATTACAGATTTATTTCAATTAAGTTTTTTTTTTTTTTTTTAGCTAAGGATAACAATACTGTTATAGTGATATTTGTTCCATATGATATATGAAGAAATGGATTGTCATTCCACTTTACCTTTCTTGCTTCTACTCTTGCAAAGTGTTGCAAGCCAGTTGTAAAGTGTTAAAATCCTGAATGGATACTTGTTATGTAGGGAGACGAACGATGAGCGTATAGTCGTCTAATAACAAAAAACCTCTGGCTGATTAGATCAATGTGCAGATCAATAGAGCTCTGAATAGAATGAGACACACTAGGGAGACCCAGTCTCGCCCTGCACCTCGTGTCAGCCCTAGTAATTGGCTGTGGCCCTGTGGATCAGCAAGGGAGTTGTTTGCTGAAGCCAGACCTCAGGGGACAGAAGCCAGACAATATGGTGGGAGCTATGCATACATTTATTTAAAAAAAAAAAAATGTTGTTTTCCCAATTTAAATTTTTTATGTTTGGAGGTCTTATGAGGCCCGAGGGAGGTGGTTTATAACAAATTCCAGAGTTACTTTCAAAATTTGAAGTTTGCCATCACTGAGAAAAAAGAGAAATGCACACCTGAAAAAGAAGGTGTAAGTTGGTGTACATTTTGCAAGAAAATACTATTGCTCAGTTTACTTTTTTAGGCTACTATTTTTCAGTCTTTCTGCTTCAAAATGTCACGGTTTAATTAAATGTGTTAATTGCCATTTCTGTGAAATTTACTAGGAATTTCTGAGTGAAAATTTCCATTTAGTGCTTAAATATGGAGGAGCTATTTCAAGTTTGCAGGTGTACACTAGGACAGTGGTTAGAAAACATATTCAGCTGGCAGACCACCAGGGGAAAAACACCAAACACTTTTATTGTTGAATGTATTGTTTGTATTGTTTTTAAATCAACGTGGATTATGTAATATATTTATATTATATATGCAATTTTCTAAACTTTAGAGTGTTCACGCTAGATTGAACCCACTTTTTGAAATATTTTAGTACAACTCAAGTACATCTTTATATTTAATTTCATTTTTATATTTAATTTTTATTGTCTTTGAAACTGGGTTAAAATGTACTGCTGAATGCACTGACAAGCATTTATGGTAAACTAACTATACTTTAATGTTATTTCTTGAAACTTGTATGTCATGTATTTATATTTGCAATTACATATTTGTAATGTCACAGTTGCAGGTTAGTATATTCAAAATATATGAACTCTACACATAAAATCGAATAACACTACAGTTAAAAGTACTTTGCTTTACTTAGTGTGCTTTAGTATGTTAGTCAACACACAAGTATAAGTGTACTTTAAAGTAATAAATGTTATGAAATAGAATGACTTTAAAGTAAAACTTTTAATTTAACATTAAAGCACACTTTAAAAAAGCGTGAAAAGTAGTCATGGAAGTTAACTCTCTTTAAGTATCTTAAATTGTCTTTTGTCATATATTATCTGCAAGTGCAGTTATATATATATATATATATATATATATATATGTACACAGTATATATATAAAACTATTTTAAATTTTATTAAGCAGTTTGTCTTGACAAACTTCTCTTTTCTAGTCTGTTCTTGTAATATTGTCCAAATCTTCTGCTCACAGGTAATGATGACAGTCTGGCCTCCAAGAAGAAAGTCACGATTGAGGACATGTTCAGTGGGAAGCTCCAGGCACACGACCCTGAGGCAGCATGGATTAGCGGTGAGTGGCGGTTGAGTTTTACTCCCTGTTGTTCAGCTGCCAGTGCTGTGGGTGGATGCTGCACCTTTTGCATCATCTCATAACACCAAAGAGAGAAACTGCATCAGGATCTGCATCTAAAGCCTCAGACTGATCGAATGCAATCTCTGTGGTAATTCAGATGAAAATCCCCATTTAATATGGACCAGTGTGGAGATATATTCTCCCCCTACATTGCTTATTCTTCTCTTCCTTTGTTTCAGGCTTGAATTCTTTCAAGTTGGTTTAGAGGCTCTGGGTTTTCATCATACACTTATAGCAAATGACTGGTTTAGACTGGTACATGGTTTCCAACTGGTTCAAATGGGTCATTTATGATCATCAGATGATACATACTGGTATACGTGGTTTGCTCAATGGGATTACTAGCTAGGTATTTATTTTTGACAAGGTAGACAATCTTGTTCAAGTAGTTTAGTATGAAAACGAAATGGAATAAAAAAAAAATAAAAAGTTAATTGTGACTTTTATCTCACAATTAAGCCATTTTCTCACAATTCTGCGCTTATATATATCACAATTTTGTATTTTTTCCTCACAATTCTGAGATAAAGTCTTTTTTCTCAGAATTGTGAGATGTACATTATGCTCACAATTTTAAGAAAAAAGTCAGAATTTGGAGATAAAAAGTTTGCCAATTGCCTTTTTTATTTTTAGTTTGATAGTAGAAACAAAAAACAATTGTGAGATGTAAAATTCGCATTCTGAGGAAAAGTCTGGATTTGTAGATATAAACAAGTCAGAATTGTGAGATGCAAACTCAGAATTCTAAAAATAGTCAGAATTGCTAGATATAATATACTCCTGAAAAACCTGAATTTTTTATATGTGACCCTTGAGCACAAAAGCAGTCTTAAGTCGCTGGGGTATATTTGTAGCAATAGCCAAAAATACAGTGTATGGGTCAAAATTATTGATTTTTCTTTTATGGCAAAAATAATTAGGATATTAAGTAAAGATCATGTTTCATGAAGATATTTTGTAAATGTCCTACCGTAAATATATCTAAACTTAATTTTTGATTAGTAATATGCATTGCTAAGAACTTCATTTGGACAACTTTAAAGGCGATTTTCTCAATATTTTGATTTTATTGCACCCTCAGATTCCAGATTTTCAAATAGTTGTATCTTAGCCAAATATTGTCCTATTGTCAATGGAAAGCTTATTTATTCAGCTTTCAGATGATGTATAAATCTCAGTTTTGAGATTGAGATTCTATTCCCCCCATCTATTCATTTGTTTTTTGTTAGGGGGGCGTTATGTCATTAATATGTTTAATGTGTTTAGTTAGTTTCAGTTTCATGGACTTTTAGTTTGTATTCTTTAGTTCCTGTGCTACTTTGTTTGATTTTCCCTCACTATTCAACTGTGTTCATTTTGGTGGGTGATTCATTTGACCTGTACAGGTGTTTACCATTATTACCCTCATTTGTTTTGTATTTGAGTTGCAGTCTTTTCAGTTCCCAGTGCTCCGGCTTAAGCACATTTACAGTACATTTGTTACAGTATTTATTCATTTTTGTTAATGTTAGTTAACACAAATACAGCTGTTCATTGTTAGTTCATGTTAGCTCAAGTCCATTAGCCTAAAATAATATTAACAGAAACAACTTTTGATTTAATCATGTAAATAACATCTAATAAATGCTTTAGAAGTATTTTTCATTGTTAGTTTGTGTTAACTAATGTATAACAAATGGAATCATATTGGTAGTTGTAAGGCATTTGCGAACATCACACAAATGAACGAGGGAATCTCCGCATTCCACCTACGTGCGTTTCTCCTGTCACAGACAAAGACAATTCTTAAGACAATCATTTAAAATCATTTAAAGTATCGGAGCAATATACTCCCAAATAATATGCTTTCTGTTTGATGTGTTATTAATAATAATTCATTCCCTTACAAATGAGTTAATTTCTTACATAGTCAACAAATAGGTAGGTAGTTAGGTAGTTAACCTTATCGTAACGTGTTACTGTTGAACTTTAGAGTGCTTTTTTGACCCACTTAAGTAGGACTTAAGTACAACTTTATGCAATTTCATAATTCTGTTGTCTTGAAATATGGTTAAAGTGTACTGACAAATGTACTGACAAGAATTTAAATATACTTTGTCATTTCGATTAAAACGTGTATGTCATGCATTTTAATATATTTGTAATTACACATTTCTAACGATGAAGTTGCAATTGTGTACAATTAAAAGATATGATCTTTAAATGTAATTTTAAATAACACAGTTAAGACTACAATCAAATACTTCACATGTACTTTAGTTGGTTAGTCAACACCTCAAAATAAGTGTACGTCTGTAAAGCATGACAAAAGATTATAAAACCATTTAAAATGTACTTTAAACTAAGTACAACTTTAAATTGAGATTAATACAAAGTGTACTTTCTAAAAGTGTAATAAAGTGTGTTAAGTCATATAGTCAAGGGAACTCTCTTGAAGTACAATTAGGTATAATTACTCTTTAAGTAAAGCGGCCTTTTTCATTAATATTATATTATCTGCAAGTATATTTTTTATAAAATTATACTTTTGAAATACACTACAAGTGCACATTCAGTACAATTAATCACACTTCTTTGTCACAAAGGAAGCTATTACATGAACAAATCAATGGTAGGGTTCTGGAATAAAAGCTCTGTCTCAGACTACAGTGCTCATGCTGACAGCAAGAAAAGCATAATCACTTAAACCAACACTGAACTTCAGAGAATTGGAACTATAACCAAGCACTTCTGCTTGCTGTCCTGTTTTTACACGCTATCATTGCAGTTCTCACTGAGGTTGTTCTGGTGTATGTCTCTAATGCTAAGGCTTTTGATGATGCTTTATTTTAGCTATTACTTTAATTGTCCTGTGCTTGAAATTTCAATCGATTTTGGCAGGGTGAAGAATGGGGTGTCCTTGTGTGCTTGTTATAAAGGTGCAGGCCTGGTACCTTGTAAACCGTGCAAAAGATGTAAATCATGTTTTCATCTGCGTTTTGATTAATCATTTTTTTGTTATTCTGCTGCTGAAAATGCATTTGTTGATTTAAGGTTGTGTTTACCTTGGAGAAACAGCCCTATTATTCTCTCTCTGACATGCTCCACAACTCAGCGTCGAGCCTTTCTAAAAGCGATCACTCGTCTGTATTATTTATCAAGGCGGGTGCTATCTGCATTCAGGTCTGGAGCAGACTTGTTTACCAGGTAGGTATAACATTTACAGCCTGAATATATAAAGAACACAGTTGCTTTAGCAAAACAGGAACTTTTAAAGCTGGGACAATTGGGCCAGTGCTTTAAAATGAGCTGTAAAAGGGTTTTAAAGGCTTTTCAAAAGAAATGAATGAATACATTTATATGGGTTGTAAAAATAAACCCAAACCATTTTATGTGCATGAAGCACAATAGTAAAACTATCTGTCTGTTCTCCCGAATGAAGCAATTGTCCATAAATCTTACTCTATTGTTATTTATCGATCTGCTATTTCATATAAATATGTAACAATTTTTTTTTCTTTTCTTTTTTGCTTTGTCATTATGATGTATGGAGTGTAGACTGATAGTAGTTTAACATAAGGCAACAAGCTGTCCTAAGTAAAGAGAAAATACGTCTCTCTCTCTCTCTAGGTTTATTTTGTGATAATGACCAGTAGACTGTACATTAATTGGATATCATTTATGTGAAGGATAATCTTTTTTTTTCTTTTTTTTTCAAAGACACTGAGCTGCTGTACCGTACCCCTGACGGCAATGTGATGGAACACAACTTTAAAAAATATTTATTTACTGTATGCATGTATGTATGTATATATATATATATATATATATAATATATCTATAGTAAAAGCAATAATATAAAAATATCATTACAGTTAATTTTTTTAAATATATAATATATTATTTTATGTATGTAATATATATTTGTATTTTAATATATTTATTATATATTTTAAAATGTAATTTATTCCTGTGATGAACCTTTACTCCAGTCGTCAGTGTATATTATGTCATATCTATATATTAAGTAAGAACTAATATCATCAATATTTCATTATTAAGTTTTTCTTAGATCCATACAACTTCCGAATAGTCTCCAGTTGAATGTTCAATCATGAAAGTTCTTTCAGAACATCTGCCAGTTGCCTTAGGAGATTTTGGAGGAGGGAATCTGCTTCTCAATTTTCACTCCAAAACTGCCTATAGTGGTTTGATAATAATGAAGTCAGGTGATTTGTTTGGCTAGGGAAGATCAGGTTCATCTTATATTTTGCATTTTAGGACAGGTGTCCGTGATTAAAGGTTTAGCAATAACAGCTCTTTCATAGATGTTGGCTTTGTGAAGTTCTCTGTGGTCAGCTTTTGTAGAAACAGGGACTTCACCTTTGCTGCAGTGGTTCTGTGTTGTTTAGCCTGTGCTCAACGGTCCTATCATTCACGTGTTCATCCACTATTCTTCTTCACTGATCTTGCCATTCTTTGTGTTCTTAAAACAGCAAACAATTGGGCTGTTGAGGTTACAGATGCTCCTGCTAAACTTTTGGCTTCCATGATTTGTCCTTTGTGTAAATCTGACACATCACCCGTTTCGCCGAGCACTTGTACTAAACACTGCTGAGCACAACTTGTACTGCACTGATATACAACCTAGAGAAGTAAAGAGAAAAGTAATTGCAATGTTTGCTTTTTTTTTCACTGTAGTCTGCATGAATAATATAATAATGGCCATTATTTTGTCCATATATATATATTGTTTGTGTTTGTGAATTATTAATGATTAATTTGGAACATAGCTGTGTAATAGCCTAATGGATATTATCCCAAAAGAAACCGATTGATAGTGATAAAATACGTCTCTCTCTCTCTCTAGGTTTATTTTGTGATAATGACCAGTAGACTGTACATTAATTGGATATCATGTATGTCAAGGATAATCTTTTTTTTTCTTTTTTTTCAAAGACACTGAGCTGCTGTACCGTACCCCTGACGGCAATGTGATGGAACTCAATGTGCTGTCCAAAACCAACAAGACTTTGGCAGAGGGCAAGATGTTCGAGAGTTTCAAAAACCAGGTTCTTACCACTTTGATTAACATCAAAAACATTTTTTTTTTACTAAAGAAAAGTAACTTCACATCCAAGATGCATGCCCTTTTTTTTTTCCTTCGGTTTCAGGGATCCTACAAACCGATCAAACTCCAAGTATCTCCTGATCTAAAATATGTGCTGGTGGCCTACAATATTGAACCGGTAAATGCTTTGTATTCTGATTTATAATGTGAAGGATCCAGCTGTTTGTTCCTCAGATTCTCTAGTCTTTTGTTGCAGAGTCCTCTTATCTGTTGCATCACATCTCTTTCTAAAAGATGATGACACGATGTGCGACTGATCGCTTCTAAAGGCCATCTCGTCTGTTCTCTTTGTTCTACAGCTTTATCAGTATTCCTTCACGGCCTATTACATCATCTGCAGCCTTGATTCTCCGTAAGTCTTGTTGTTATGACATTCTCACTGCTTTTTACTGTCCTCTCGCCTGAGCTCTTCAGAGAGACCTGAATTGTGGGTAGCACTGCCACCTAGTGTGTTTCATAAGAATTGGTGTCATTTCCCCAGAGCGGTCCATGCCTGCAAATATAACTTGTCTCCCTCCCACCGATCTAAATTATTCATTACATGTAGCGTTAAACATCGCAAGTGCATTCAGTGAAATACATTAGACTTCATATAGGTTACACATCTACACACACACATCTTTCTCATTCAGCTCACACACACACTTTTACACTCTCTCTGTCATTCTAACAGATACATATGATATTATTTGACCTTCTCTGGTGTCAAATCACAATACATTTCATACATGAATGCATACATGAATGCAAAGCAACACACAAACACACAAAGTTGTCCTGCTTTGGTTTGTTTTTTGACAGAGAGAAAGTGGAGCTGACCCCTAATGAGGTGCAGAGCACCGTACTGCAGTACGCCGGATGGGGTCCCAAAGGACAGCAACTGGTAAGAGAAACACAAACACACTCTGATGACAAACTCACAGACCGATGAGTCTCTGTCAAAATGAGGTTTATAGAGGTAAACTTCAAAACTTCAAAGCTACAATTAAATACCACAAAACACAAACACTGTTATAAGAGGTTGGTTTAATATTGTACAAGTTACTACACTCAAAAAATGCAAATATTGTCTAAATATAAACGCTTTGTATTCTTACTGTATTTTATATTATTTTTCTGGAAATGTTTGGGTTTTATTGAAACAGGCGAACATACATGTAATGACCATCATGATCATAATCGATATCAAATCCTGGTTTGTTTTCATCCACTGGTCCTGATAGAAATCTAAAGAAGCTAAAATCACCTCTAATCTTTAGAAAAGAGAGTGCTTTAGGCTTTCAGCTCAATTTGACTTTTAGAAGTAAAACAGCTCTTTTTCAGGCTGCTAGAAGCTGAGCTGTAAATAGTAATTGCATCTATAAGGCAAGTATATATTTTAGTGCAGCTGTATATTTTAGCTACTCACTATTTCACTGTAAGTCACAATAAAAAACAATTACTTACCTTTTTTAATTGTCTTGTAGCTTGACATATACACTAGTTCAAAAGTATGGTGTCAGTATATATATATTTTTTACATAAATTAATACTTTTATTCAGCAAGGATGCATTAAATTGATCTAAAGTGACAGTAAAGACATTTATAACGCTACTAAAGATTTCTATTTCAAATCAATCGTGTTCTTTTGAACTCTTTATTCACCAAAGAAACCTGAAAAAAATGCATCACATTTTCCACGAAAATATTAAGCAGTTTTGGCTGAACTATCCCTTTGAAACATTTAAAAGCTACAGTTAGTTAGGGGTTTCTTTGAATCTCTGACTTTGGGGAAGAGTAATAGTGACTCTTACCCTTCCAAACGCCACTAATTGAGGTCAGAAAGAAACTAAAATCAGCTCTTTTGAAGTGAGGTTGTGTCATGCTGCTTTACTAAAGCTCCTGCTTTATCTCGGCCAGCATTAAACAGACACAATCAGGCCGATATGAGCAGCTCACATTTGTTTATTTGCTCCACATTTTTTTTTTTTTTTAAATATTGAGCAGAATTATATGGACATGTGGGTAGTTAATACAAAACATCAAGCAGTGTGACTTCATGTAAAATTATTGTAAACACTATTTTCTAATTCTAGTATCATTTTTATAATGCTGATTTCAGAAGATACACTATTGTTCAAAAGTTTGGGGATGGTAAGTTTTGTAATGTTTTTGAAAGTCTTATGCTCACCAAAGCATTTATTCGACCATATATACAGTAAAAAAATAATATTGTAATAAATAACTATTTTAATATATTTTATTCATGTGACGCAAAGCAGCATCATTACTCCAGTCTTCAGTGTCACATGATCCTTCAGAAATCATTCTAATATGCTGAATATGCTGTTAGGAAACTTGTATTATTATTATCAACATATAGAAACAGTTTAATAAAAAACTGACACATCATTTACTCACCCTCACATTGTTCCAAACCTATATGAGTTTCTTTCTTCTGCTGAACACAAAAGAAGATATTTTGAAGAAGGCTGGGCAACAATCAGTTGCTGGTAGCCATTGACTTCCATAGTATGGAGAAAAAAAAAATAATGGTCCAACTTCCTACCAACATTCTTCAAAATATCTACTTCTGTGTTCACATCGAACAAGACAAACACAGACACAGAAGCATTACTGTGTTTGTATTAGTAGTCTGTTGTTTTAGTGTCTTATCAGTCAACACAAGAAGTGCAATATAATCCAAGCCTGGAATATTTGTGTTATAGTGTTTACCTGCAAACACAAACTCATAAATGTATGGCACTGCACTGCATTGTCATAATCATACACAAATACATATTTGCTTTGTGTGTTATAAATAAAGCACACATGCTCACTTGTGTTTGTGTGTGTGAGCGGAGCATCAGGTGTGTAATTTTCCGGGCGCCCGTATGCTGTCCCGCGCCCTGCGCCTCCTGCAATTAGTTTCCATGACAATCAGCAGGGGTCTGCGCAGCCAGAACCTACACTGAAGGTCACATCCCAGACTCCTCCGGGGGGGAGAGAGCGCGAGACGGATCATGGATGAGCAGAGATAGAGATGTAGAGGAGTCGCTGTACATCACAGGTGTGATGGAGGAGAACGTACATTCAGCGGGACGGGGGCCAGAGTGTAGACACATGCCATTGGCTCCGTCCCAAAACCTACTGAACCGCCTCGCTGTCTACATAGGCAGCTGCCTTCTAAAGCTCAAAATAGCATTGCAACAGTGCATAATGCATTACATCATGAACAAGATGATGGATTATCAATGCACAAATCAATTTCAGAAATCCGATAATGGTTTTTCCTGTATTATGTTGTTATTATAGCATGGGACACATCATAATAATTGAATCTTTTCCATCTCATCTGTGTCTCCACTGTAGTTCTACAGGGATGATGTATTTTTGTAGGCCAACCCTGAAGTTAGCATTAAATTGTTTCTCTCTTCAGAAATCATTCTAATATGCTGATTTGCTGCTTAGGAAACTTGTATTATTATTATCAACATATAGAAACAGTTTAATAAAAAACTGACACATCATTTACTCACCCTCACATTGTTCCAAACCTATATGAGTTTCTTTCTTCTGCTGAACACAAAAGAAGATATTTTGAAGAAGGCTGGCCAACAATCAGTTGCTGGTAGCCATTGACTTCCATAGTATGGAGAAAAAAAAAATAATGGTCCAACTTCCTACCAACATTCTTCAAAATATCTACTTCTGTGTTCACATCGAACAAGACAAACACAGACACAGAAGCATTACTGTGTTTGTATTAGTAGTCTGTTGTTTTAGTGTCTTATCAGTCAACACAAGAAGTGCAATATAATCCAAGCCTGGAATATTTGTGTTATAGTGTTTACCTGCAAACACAAACTCATAAATGTATGGCACTGCACTGCATTGTCATAATCATACACAAATACATATTTGCTTTGTGTGTTATAAATAAAGCACACATGCTCACTTGTGTTTGTGTGTGTGAGCGGAGCATCAGGTGTGTAATTTTCCGGGCGCCCGTATGCTGTCCCGCGCCCTGCGCCTCCTGCAATTAGTTTCCATGACAATCAGCAGGGGTCTGCGCAGCCAGAACCTACACTGAAGGTCACATCCCAGACTCCTCCGGGGGGGAGAGAGCGCGAGACGGATCATGGATGAGCAGAGATAGAGATGTAGAGGAGTCGCTGTACATCACAGGTGTGATGGAGGAGAACGTACATTCAGCGGGACGGGGGCCAGAGTGTAGACACATGCCATTGGCTCCGTCCCAAAACCTACTGAACCGCCTCGCTGTCTACATAGGCAGCTGCCTTCTAAAGCTCAAAATAGCATTGCAACAGTGCATAATGCATTACATCATGAACAAGATGATGGATTATCAATGCACAAATCAATTTCAGAAATCCGATAATGGTTTTTCCTGTATTATGTTGTTATTATAGCATGGGACACATCATAATAATTGAATCTTTTCCATCTCATCTGTGTCTCCACTGTAGTTCTACAGGGATGATGTATTTTTGTAGGCCAACCCTGAAGTTAGCATTAAATTGTTTCTCTCGCCAAAAAGCCAATAGGGGTTTTCCATTGGCTTTTGAATTATTTTAGAAAATATGCTCTGTGAACAACTAAAGTTTAGGATTCTTACATGTTTTGTTCATCAAGATAATCTACACAAATGAACACAACCTTTTGGAGCCTAAATAGAGTCGGCAGAAGTAAAAAGCTAGAGTTCGCCTATAAACAAACTACCACCATTAAGAACCTGACAAATATATGAATCTTTATTTAAAATTGAGAAGTTGAGAATAGTTTGTCGGAATGCTGTAAAGCAGATTATTGAGAACATGCATTTATTTGTTCAGTATGATGACTTCTAAAGTCCCAGACAACTGCTGAAGTCCAATTTAGCCACTTGTTAGCAAAAATTACGAGTGGGATATCACTTATATTTTTATGCTGCAGGATAAAATGTGAAAAAAAATCTTGAGCTAATGTTTCCTAATTTTAGGCATTTAATCAAAAACCAATTCCAAAAACCTGTTGACTTCAGGAAAAAATGCTAACTTGTTTCCAGGATTTAGGACTTTCTGCAGCACTCGATTGGTTGTTGTAAAATAGCTTCAGCTTTCTCAACTTCACAATAAAGTAAAAGAAATAGTTCACCTAAAAATGAATATTCTTTCATCATTTACCCTCATTCCAAACCTGTGACAGTAACACTAAAAACACTTCACGGTCAAATATTTTTTTTAAAGTTTGTGTTCCACAGACATAAGAGACTCATACAGATTTGGAACATCTTGAGGGTGATTAAATGATGGATGCCCTACCACCTACACACCTGTGATGCACAATGCTCCCCACTGTATGTCGCAGCTCACTGGGATTTGGGAACAGTGAAGTTGTCTCCTATGAGCAGGTCACACAAATGTGTTTTTGAAGCTTCTTTTTGTCTTTTTATTGTTTTGCTGCCTGTGGTATGTGTTTTCATCCTCATTAGACTATAGCAGTAAAGCAGTGATTCATAGTGAATTCATTAATGACAGAGCACTGAGTCATTATCTGCTGTCTGTCTGTCTGTCTCATGAGCTGTTCCTCTCATTCTGCTCACACTCAGAGTAAATGACAGTGGGTAGAGAGATTCATAACAATAACAGATAAATACCAGGGCACAAACGCAACCATTAGTCAGAAACAAAATCAGACCACTATTCATGAACATTGCAGTAATAAGACACAATCACAGGCTTGAAATTCTTCTTAATACTAATCACTGCAAAATGCTCTTAATGGTTCTAAATGCAGTACAATTATCGATCCTCAGCATTTCCAAAGCCGCAGTTGCATCTTCTCTTAACAGTTATCTGAGCTTCTGTTGCAACCACAAGCAGTAAAAGGATCATTTTAATAAACTAGACTAGAAAAATACACAGGCCTAATGTGTGACCTCCGAATACATGCAAACACACTGCAAGCAATACAATCATTTAAAAAAAAACTTTTCACACTCTTACTAGTGTATTTAATTTTGTCCACTACTGTCCAGCAGTCGACACACATGCATCATAGCAGAATTCTGAATCTCATATGTCATATCAAACACGCTTTTTATTGACATTGTTTCCTTGGTGTCAACTAACATTTGAGCAAATTTATTTGGGGCAAAATTGTTGGTTGTGCAAGGAATGATGCCAGAAGAGACTGTAATTTGTTAAATAATTTTTCACATTAATCATTGCAATTATTTATTTCATATAAACCATCACTGAAAAGTTGGAAAGTGTCCAACAAAAAAGAAAGAAGTTAGGATGAACCGGTGACTCTGTTGTGCCGGATGAAAAGTGCTGTTCTAAATTGAATTAAAATTGGTACATTGTAAAGCTGTCCTCCTCTTAATGAAATATTGTTACATTGTAGTTTATTATCATTCTTGTTTTTAAGAGTTTGTCTTTTTTTTTCAGACATGGTCTATTTGATTTGCATAAGTTAGTACAACATATCTCTCTGTGATTTTGGCAGAATGTGATTCAGCTGCTGAAAAAATCCCACCAGAGCTTTTCACACACACACACACCCACACACACACACACACACACAAATCAAAGCCCTCTCAAGAGTGGGAAATAGTTTCACAACTCAACAAATCCAAAAAAAAATGTCTTCCAAGTTCCTCTAATAGCAGTTTATCTAGAAATGCCAATTTGATGTCGGACAACTCTAAATAAGCTCCCCCCCTCCCCACATGACTGGAAGAATGGTGAAAATAAGTGAATAAAATAACAAAAGTAAAGAAATAAAAAGAAAAAAATTGACAAAATTGACAACTGACAACATGTATATGTAGCATGATGGTAAAACTTCAGCTGATTATTTAAATTATTTTATCTACTATATATATATATATATATATATATATACATGTGTGTGTGTGTTATTTCTGGATATTATATTATTACATGTTAAAAAAAAAAGGACAGAGAGAAAACAGCACACACACACTCTCCCGGAGCTGTCAGACATCCTGCAGACAGTCTGCCACCAACCCTAATTACTGTAGCATCACACAACATCTTGGATATTCACTAGAGATGTGTGAGATGTTACAACACACATATATTCAAATTTAGTGTAAATCGATCATTTAAATTCTTTTTTTCCCCTCCATTTCGGTATGCAGCCGAATAGTTTACTGTTGAATGAACTTTGAATTGGCTTTTCATCATCCAAAGTGCAGGCATGTTCATTTGTCCTACAAAGCACAACAGTGACCACATTTTTCCAGCAACCTTGTTCCTGGAAGTATTTTTCCCTTTGTTGTCTTCATATGCATGTCAAAAATTCTCCATTTAATATTTTGAAGCATTGAACCTACACATTACAACATTTGAAAACCTAAATAAAAAGACTGTGTACTTACATTCTTGCATGAGGAAATGAACTGCTCTCTGTAATATAAATCCATGACTGTAATGCTTTAATGTGTAAGATACAATATATTTGAAACCTATTGTAAAATATTCAGAAATATATCAATAGTTTGAGAGTGTAGGGCGACCAGGTCAGTTATGTCATTCACACTGTTTCATTAGCATTTGCTGTGAGCTCTTTTGTATGTCTGTTTCTAAAGTAAGAGCAACTTTCTGATTGGTGGATCTCTCTTGAGGGATTATGGGTAGTGTAGTTTTTCACCCGGGATTCTTTTTTAGCTGACAGCATCATACTTGAAGTATATACTATCACTTAACAATCTCAGAGATCATGGTAGATCTGTCTTGAAAGTTGTATACATTATCGCCAATTCAATTTCCCTATAGAGAAAATGAATGTGCCCTAAAATCTTTCAGGTTCAGGAGTTATTTTTTGTCTGGTTTTACATGGTGTTTCCTACAATCATTAGTTCTTCTTTCCTGACAGATTTTCATCTTTGAGAATAACATCTACTACAAAGCACAAGTGAACAGTCCATCAATCCGCCTGGTGTCCACAGGCAGTCTGAGAGTCGTATTTAATGGACTTGCTGACTGGCTCTATGAAGGTAAAACCCATAAGCATGAATAATAAAAAAAAACTCAGAGGAGTGTGTGCATGTAATAAAAGAGCAGAAGTGATTGTGAGTGTCTGATGTGTTTAGTTTTTTAGAACCTCCTGATGAAAACGGACATAACCGATATTGAAATATTGTCAAAATAATAACTCAATTTACACAAAAATACATTGATATAATAATAATAATAACTTTTATACTTATGCAACATGCAATATTATATAAACAATACGTGTAATTTTTGAACAGGATCATTTGTTTGTTTGCTTTGTTTTATTTTAATTCAATTACTTTGCTAAATTACTTATAATAATAACAATTGATGTTATTATTGATATGTATAACTGCAAAGAAAAATAATTACTGTAAATGCATTTAACTGTTACACTGTCTCTATTCATATACTCATCACTAAGGACCCTTTCTGAAAAATATGTAGGGAAATCAGATCAAAGCATTAATGCTGGTGTCTCTCTGAACCCGTTCATACTGAGTTCATTTCACAGCAGTAGATGCACAACAGACTCTTTCAATACCTTAGTCTGGTTGATTTCAAAAGCAGCCAAATATGTGACATTCCACAGTCTTTTAATTTCATCATAAGCATATAAACTGCAAATGCTAAACATACGCCGTATAGAATTTGGAAATAAAATATCCAGTCCTTGTTAATGAAATGCAGATATTATTAGACCTGTTTGTGTATTAACAGCATTGGGATGTGATCTCAAGATTAAACCTGTTTATAATCTATTGTGCAATAGTGTGATTTAAGACAGTGTTCAAGTATAATCTGCCACAATCAGGAATTTAATCATACTTAATTTAATATTAAACTAATATAATACACAATATACGAAATACTAATAATACACAATATTTAATATTCCTGATGATTAATGTAGCATCTCATCTTAAAATACTGTTTGCCTTAGGATTATGTTCTTTTAGACTTGTGTTTTTTCGTTCTCTATTAGTTATATCAAGTGTTTACTTACACTCAAATTCACACACACGGATTTCCCTGGCTCTATGCCGTCTGCAGTGTGGGAATACTGCATGATGGGAAAAAAACATCTTACAGAAAGCTTTTTAGAGTCATTTTGTAGCTATTTTATCCATCTGGCATTAATTGGAAATTGCAGTTAATTGTGGAAGAGTGAAATGCTGCTGGTTAAAACTGAAGTGACCTTGGTGACAACAGCTGAAAAGGAAAATCATTTTAATGGCAGAGCAAGTTATTACATTTTGATGAAATAGTATTTTTTTCCCCTTTTGAATCACTGATGAATCATTCACAATATAAGACCAGCAACATGTATTAAGAAGGTAAATAGGGTCATATTGACTTTCCGTTTGCAGCATGTGTGTGTATGATGGGCTGTACTTATGAGCAGAAGTAAAGCAGGTCAGCAGCAGCTCATTTATCATATCCCATCTCTTCATCAGCTGTGTGTAGCTGAGCTTTGGTTCTTCTGCCAATAAAATCCATCAAGCAGTTCTGCATCTATTAAATCTTGGTTAGTTTATAAGGGGGAAGGGGAAGTTGTGGCCTAATGGTTAGAGAATCGGACTCGTAACCCAAAAGGTTGTGGGTTCGAGTCTCGTATCGGCAGGGATTGTAGGTGGGGGGGGGGAATGTACAGCGCTCTCTCCCACCTTCAATACCACGACTGAGGTGCCCTTGAGCAAGTGCCCTGTTCCTTGTTTCTCATGTTCCCTGACTTTAGTTCACTTTGTTAGTTTAATAAATGAACTGTATGTAGATCCACATCCCTGCCAGCCTGGACTCATTCCCTTACATTACATTTATAATGTTACAAAAGATTTCTGTTTCAAATAAATGCTGTTCTTTTGAACTTTCTGTTCTTTAAAGAATCCTGGTTTCCACAAAAATATTATGCAGTGTTTTCAACACTGATAATAATAAAAAATGTTTTTTGAGTGTCAAATCAGCATGTTAGAATGATTTCTGAAGGATCAGGTGACACTGAAGACTAATGTTGCTGACAATTCAGCTTTGAATAAATTACATTTTAACATCTCAGTATGAGGCTATTCTTAGTCACATGCTCTTATGACATCTGTTTATTCTCTGTTGTAAAAAGATCGCTACTGCCATCCTGTGGTCTCACCTTTCATGACAGATAGCATTTAATCAGAACAGGCAGAGCAAGAATTGCTTCACAGCAGGAACTTTAAGGGATAGTTCAACAAAAAAAACGTAAATTGTGTCATCCGTGGAACGTAAAAGAAGATATTTTGAAGAATGTTTAAGCTGCACCTTTCCATTAAACAAAAGTGAATGGTTATATGAAAATATGAAACTATGAATCAAATGAATAATTGTGTTTTCATGGTACTTTCGTCTACTTTTGTTGTTCAGTGTTGTTATTAAGTAAACCTAAAACTATAAAAAAATTGTTTTTGTTAATTGGAAAAAAACTCGTTAAATAAAATAAAATATAAATATTAGATACTGATATAAAATGAGATGAAGCACTGAACTTTACTAAAACTAAAAAACGAAATTAAAGCTAAATAGAAATATTAAAAAGAACTATGACAATGACAAAAAGCACATTACAGAGCTACTAAAACGTAAACTAAAAATAATAGCAAATAAAGAGTAAAAGTATATAAATATTACTATAAAAAAACTATTAAAATGACATTACAGAGTTACTAACATTTAAACTAAAATTTAAATAAAACAGAAAACATAAAATAAAAGCAAATAAATTATATAAAAGTATATACATTTTACTAAAATAACACTGACAGAATAGACGCTGCCTACAACACACACACCTGCTTAATTTCTCTTTTGGTGTTTTACAGAAAAGTATTTGGGTTTGTAATGACATTAAGGTGAAAAAAAAAAAACTATTCCTCAAAGACTTTGGATCCATGGTGCAGCAGTTAATGTCCCAGGTGCTCATGGGTGATGCAGGTTTGAACAGAACAATTATACAAAATATCTATGAACATCTGCAAACATCAGGGCTTATATTTATGAACAAAATATTGTTTAAGTAAATAAGTAGATTGTTGCTTTTATGGAAAAAAATGTTTGAATATTCATGCACCAACAAATGAATAAATAAACAAAACAAATCAAATGAGCCGTTCAGGTTACATAATGTCTTAATTAGCTCTAGAGGTCCAGTTTGCAGTGTTACAGACAGTCATATTTTACATGCTGTCAGCTTTATGGAGTGACGGATGAGACTCCCGAGGCAGCAGCCTACAGGCAAATGGATGCGATAAATCACAAAGGCTGTTTTTGCACATGGTGCAGTTATGTATTTTGCAGCGTGTCCTCTGTCCGCGTTTGCTTGAAAGGATATTTAATCCTCTAACGCATATCAGGATCTGACAGAGATGCGGTCACCACGCAACAAAGCTTAACTGGACTCGCATCACTAGTTTGTGTGCAGTATAGACTTCCTTTAGTATAAAGCTTCAGTTTCGTGTTTAACATTTCATTTGTTTGTGTTCACAGAGGAGATCTTCCAGAGTCACATCGCTCACTGGTGGTCACCAGATGGTCTCAGACTGGCATATGCCACCATCAATGATACTCTGGTGCCCAGGATGGAGATACCCATGTTCACAAACGCGCTGTATCCCAGCGGACAGGAGTACCGCTACCCTAAAGTAAATCTCTGCAGCTTCTTTTTATGATCAAACCAAGTCTTAGTTGTGTGTCACTGTAACCTTGAAATGGGATCTGATGGCTGCTGTTGTCTTGAGTGACATTTAAAGGGACAGTGCACCCAAAAATCTTTCTCAACTATAAGGCTTTCATTCATCTTCAGAACACAAATGAAGATATTTTTAGTATTCTGTCATTGTTTTTGTTTTTTTCATCCATTGGAATTTGACCAAAATCAAGCTTGAAAAAAGTAAATAAAGACATTATAAAAGTAATCCATATGAATCAAGTGGTTTAATCCAAGACCTGATCACTTTATATGATAAACAGATTTAGGCTTTTATTATGTTATTCACATACATAGAGCACATCAGATATGGTCAACAGAAGCTCAATCATGATTGCTTGACGCACAAGAACAAACCTCATTGCTCCTCATGCATAAAACACACACAGCTGAGCTTCTGCTTCAATGAATGGATAAAAAAAAATGATGAGAGAATATTATAAATATTCATTTTGACAATGAATGAAAAACTTTTTTGTTGAAATGACATGAAGGTGAGTAAATGATGAAAGATTTTTCATGTTTGTGTGAACTGACACTTTAAGCACTGTAGTGACATAACTAAATCAGGTTTCTTAACAGTCATGCCAAGCAATAACTGTCCATCTGCATGTTTCTCTTTTTACACAACATACCTAATTTACATTCATTCATTTGCCAGACAGATTTTTCCAAAAGCAGCTTACAATGCACAAAGTATTGCCTAAATTGGGAATTGAACCCATGAGCTTTGCTAGCGCTTTACCAGTTGAAATTTAATGGACCAGATAACAATTGTTTGCACAAATTATGTATGTGTTTGTATTCTAGAATCATGCCGTTTAAAGGGATATTTCACCCAAAAATGAAAATTCTGTCATCTTTTACTCTGGTGACCCATTGATTTCCATAGTATTTCTTCCTCACAGTGGAAGTCAATGGCTACCGGCAACTGTTTATTTCCCAACATTCTTCAAAATATCTGATTTTGTGTTCAACAGAAGAAAAAAACTCAGAACAACTTAAGGGTGAGTAAAAGATGACAGAATTTTCATTTTTGGGTGAACTATCCCTAAGGGTCCCATCGGAGGAGGAGAAGGAGATACTCCAGTTACAAAATCTCTGTTGTCTCTGTAGGCCGGGGAGGAGAACCCTGATATCTATTTGTCAGTGGTGAGTCTGAACGGCCCTTTACACACAGTGAGGATGAGGAAACCAGAGGACCCCAGGATCAGGTGAAGAGCTGCCAGTGACCACACAACAACATGCTTATTCGATTACTAACTTTATCTTTTGCTTTAGGGGAGTTAGGGGAGTATTTAAAATATTCAATGTCAGCATCCAACAAATTAAACTAGAGCCTTTAAAAACTAACTTTTCTAAATCATTTTTTTTGGGATGACTTTTGACTACCAAGTGCAACAATACTTTTTGCCTTGATTTTGACAATATACACTACCATTCAGATGTTTGGGGTCAGTAAGTTTCATATTCATGTTTATTCAAGAAGTCTCTTATGCTTACCAAGACTGCATTTTATTTTATTTTATTAAACTAGAGCCTTTAAAAACTAAATCATCTAAATCATTTTTTTTTGGGATGACTTTTGACTACCAAGTGCCACAATACTTTTTGCCTTGATTTTGACAATATACACTACCATTCAGATGTTTGGGGTCAGTAAGTTTCATATTCATGTTTATTCAAGAAGTCTCTTATGCTTACCAAGACTGCATTTTATTTTATTTTTTTGGTCAAAAATACAATAAAAACAGTAATATTGTGAAATATTATTAGAATTCAAAATAGCTGTTTTCTATTTTTGATTTCTATTTTTCAATTTTTTTTTAGGATTCATTGATGAAAAAGAGTTCAAAAGAGCATTTTATTTGAAACAGAAATCTTTTGTAACATTATAAAATCTCTTTACTGTCACTTTTGATTAATTTCATGTATGTGTCCTTGCTGAATAAAAGCATAATTTATTTAAAAAAATACTTACCCTAACCTTTTGAACGATATTGTAATACTTTAACTCTGTAAACAGGCTACAGTCAGACTAATGGACTGCATTACTCGACAGAAGAATGGCTTAAATGGCTTTAAGGAAAGCTTTTTAGAGCATTTTTTTAATTAAAGGGATAGTTCACCCCAAAATGAAAATTTGATGTTTATCTGCTTACCCCCAGGGCATCCAAGATGTAGGTGAATTTGTTTCTTCAGTAGAACACAAACGAAATATCATTTTTTACCTCTGATCCACCGCAATGTCCAACTTTCCTGAGCACATTCTCAACATCCGGCGCGTGACGCGTGTACGTGCTCTGGCATAGTAAACATAGATATATATATAAGTAGATTCCTCATTAGTGACTGTTTCTATGGGCCGCGATACGTTCCAAATGGCGGACGCGTCAACGTATCTGGAGCAGTCGATATCTATGATAGTAGATGCATGTGCGGAAGCGATCTGTCACGCGTATACGTCACTCATTATTTACACAGTGCAGAGAGATTGCGGACGTGTTCACTGGCACTGCGATGATCTAAAGATATTTAGAAGTACAGGTCATCACAATGGAAGATGATTTTGATATATCATCAGACAACGTGGAATTTTTTGCCCGATTTATTGTATTTATTTGACGTCACGCGCTGGATGTTGTGAACATGCTCAGGACAGTTGGACATTGCGGTGGATCAGAGGTAAAAAAATGATATGTTTCTTGCACAGACCGATCGTTTCGTGTCTTAAGACCTCAATGTATCGTCACGAGCCGCAGGGTTTCATTTGGTTTTGTCTGTGTATGATTTTTTGACTCTCAAAGCCGTGAAGCCCATTGACTGCCATTATATGACTGACAGACTGCAACGGTTTGAGTTAAAAATCTTCGTTTGTGTTCTACTGAAGAAACAAAGTCACCTACATCTTGGATGCCCTGGGGGTAAGCAGATGAACATCAAATTTTAATTTTTGGGTGAACTATCCCTTTAAGCTAATGAACAAAATCCATTTTGCCCAAAGCTTTTTTTATTAAACACATTTACTCACAAAAAAATGTACACAGACTCTATTTGACGCAGTTTGAAGTGGTATTTTAACCAGCTTCTCTCTGCAGGAAAGATTACTACATCACCATGGTGAAGTGGGCAACCAGCACCAAACTAGCAGTAAACTGGCTGAACCGAGCACAGAACAACTCCATTCTGACCTTGTGTGAGGCCACAACAGGCATCTGCACAAAGGTATCTTCTGATATACACTAGCACACACACTTAATTATCACTATTGTCCATAATAATAGCAAAGTCATTAAGACAATTAACAAATGAAAGTCTGAGAATTACATCATGACCTTCGATTTTCCGGAAAAGGCTGTAAGGGCGACAGCGCCTATTGTTACATCCAAATGTATTAAAATGCACGTCAGTTCAATGAAAGAAAAGATTAGTCACTGCTTCGGTTGTGAATAAAGGACTTTGTCGCACAATGGTAGACATACCGAGGAAAAAACAATAATCTGTCGGTGTGTTTTCAGAAACATGAAGATGAGAGTGACAGCTGGCTTCACAGACAGGTGAGTCACACATCACGCTGCATCTCAGAGCGGAGACACGTACGGTGTGTGGGATGTGTGTGTAAGAGCGCTAGCCGAATGTTCGCTGATGGGAAGACTTGAATCTCTCTGCAGAACGAACCCCCGCTGTTCTCCAGAGACGGATACAGGTTCTTCTTCACCCGAGCCGTTCCACAGGGAGGCAGAGGGAAGTTCTTCCACATATCCATGTCCACTTCCCAGGTGAGCTGACAATGAGAAACCACACGCTACTTTAATTGGATAGTTCACCTAAAAATGAAAATTTGCTGTTAATTTACTCACCCTCCGACCAAGATGTAGGTGACTTTTTTTTTTCAGTAGAACAGTAAGGAAGATTTTTAGCTGAAACCGTGCTCCTTGGTGATTCATATTATGCAAGTCAATGGCTACCGGCCCTTGAGCGTCAAAAAAAGCCTATCAAGGAAATACAAAATGAATACCTGTGGTTCCTGGCGATATATTGACTTCTTAAAAAGCAAAATGATCAGTCTGTGCAAGAAACTGAACATTATTTGCAACATTATTACCTGTAAACCTTAGACGAACCAGTTCACCAGTTCAAAAGAATGATTCGTTCGTGAACAAGACATCACTCCAGACCATTTGCCTGAGGCTCTGGATTTCAGGAAATAATGTTGTAAATACTGTTCAATACAGACCAGTTGCTTCACCTCATAAGACCTACAAAAAGAAAAAAAGTCACCTACATCTTGGTTAACCTGAGGCTCAGTAAATAAACAGCAAATTTTCATTTTTGGGTGAACTATCCCTTTAAGAGCATGTTAAAGGTAAGGAGTGACTTCCTTTTGCCGTCTCTTTCAGCCCAACAGCAGCACAGACACGCTACAGTCGCTGACGTCAGGAGACTGGGATGTGACGCAGATTTTAGCCTACAACGAGGACACCAAACTTGTGTAAGCATGTGTGATCAGCAGCATTCAAAAGACCCAGATGCTTGATTCTATCCATATTGTCAGTAAAACTGTCAGAAATATACCTAAAATAAAGCAATATGCCATTACCTTTCGAAACATTAAAATGGATATCTGTAACAACAATGTCTTTGCAGATACTTTCTGAGTACAGAAGATGATGCAAGACGGCGTCAACTCTACAGGTATGACACACACACACACACACACAGTGATGTATTTGGAAGCATTGCACTGATGATGTGTTGTTTTTTTAGCGCCAACACCACAGGATCCTTTAACCGCCGCTGTCTTTCCTGTAATTTAAGCTGTGGATACATCAGCGGATCATTCAGTCCAGATGCTAACTACTTCCTTCTCAACTGCAAAGGTTTCATGCTTTTTCTATGCAAAACAACTGTAAATAACATATATTTTACCTATAGAGTACAATACGGAAAACCACATTTTTAAAAAGCCTTGGATCCGGAAGTATTTTTTACTAATGCTGTTTATTTTTCCCATAGAGATTTTAAAAAGGTCGCGTTAAAAGAGTTACAAGCCATGAACCAAACCAAGCAGCTACAAGCTGAATCAAAGCACTGCAAACTTGGATTTGAAGCAAAAAAATTGGACAAAAAGACTGAGTTGTGTACTTAACGGCTTTGAGGAAAAGAACCAGAATCCCATGAAGCATTTTAAATGACATAGTTGAATTAAAAACCATGTAGTTTGAGAGCTTAGCTTCCCTATGGAGAAAATTAATGTGAAATTTACTTTGGAACCCAATTGTTGCACTTGTCCGGTTCCAGAGGTCCAAACTCTCCATAGGGAAATTTAATTTTAACAATAACTGATAAACCTTTAAAGACAGACCTGTTGTGAGCTCCAAGGTTGTTAATCGATTGTATGTGGCTTTGTTGAACTTGTCTGTTCGTGTTTATTCAACTTATTTTAAATTTATTGTGTTTAATAGTGAAAAACTACATTACCCATGATGCTATACAGAAAATTCCACCAATCAGAGAGTCACAGTGAGCAAAACAACCAAAAGAGATCTTTAGCTCTGACCATTACCATGACCTCAAAATACTTATATTTACTTATATATATATATATATATATATATAAGTTTATTTCTATAGATACAACCAACAACTTTAAAGGATTTATATTTCTCCTTTGTTTTTAATTTGATTAATGTCATTCACAATGCTTTATGGGATTGTACTTTCCATCACCAAAATCATTAAGTACACAATCTTGTACCATTGTCTTTTTGTCCGATTTTCATTTACAAGTAAATGTTTGTAATGTTGTGATTCTCCTTGTAGCTGGTTGGTTTGTTTCATGGCTTACAACACTTAAAAAAATCCCTATATGGGATAAATGAAAGGGGAAAATACTTCCAGAAACAACAACGCTGAAAAAGTGGATTGGTACTAATGTACTCTATTACATGGTTTCTCTAGAATAATTGATTCTGATTGGTCAGTTGCTGCATCCTGCGGTCAGATGTTGTACAATAGACTGTTGTCTTAAGAAACCAATCTTCTACATTGCTAGTTTTATATATCTCATATGCTAATTGAATAGTTCACATTTTAGATTATTGAAATAGAGAATTCCCCAATAACAGGCAATAAGTACTATTAGACCAGAAACAATATGGAATATAAAGTCAGTGTTTCAATAATTGTATTTTTTCTCTTGATGTAACCGCTCACTGCCGAGTTTGGCTCAGTGACTCTGGCTGATCCCAGTCTGTTAGTCATGACATCATTACCCTGCTGAGTGTTTTACCAACAATAAAGCGTGGTTGCCATGGTCACTGATCTGTTTAGGTCTGTTGGGCACAAGGAAAGGTCAGTGTTTGTGTTTTTAATTAGATGAAGTCAGAACAGAGCCTTATGGTCCTTGCAGCATGATGCTTCCCCAGACCTCAGCAGAGAAAGATCAGTTCTTGTGTAGCTGATGCTTCCCACCTGTTGTGTGGATCAAACCAAGCATTGATAGTAAAGAAGATCCATTTTAGGTGCTGTATAATTATTCCATGTTTAGTGATCCTAAATGGGGTTTGAGTGCATTGATGAATTCCTGAAAAACCCAAAACCACACTGTAAAAACAATTTGTTGAGTCAATTTTTCAGATTACAGGTTTTCAGATTGTATGGTTTGTTAGGATAGGACCCTATTTGGTCGAGATACAACTATTTGAAAATCTGGAATCTGAGGGTGCAAAAAAATTCAAATATTGAGAAAATCGCATTTAGAGTTGTCCAAATGAAGTCCTTAGCAATGCATATTACTAATGATAATACATTTTTTTATATATTTACAGTAGGAAATTAACAAAATATCTTCATGGAACAATATGTGTTTTTGAGTTGAACTTTCAGCTTAGTTGAGGGCCAATGAACTTAAATTTCCTTGTTGTCTGGAAAATTTATAAAAAAAAATTAGTTGTCTACAAAAAAATAAAACAAAATAGAAATCTCAAAATATTTTCTAATCAGTAATTACAGTCAGAATAATTTGTTATAATAGATTTTTAATACTTTTATTCAGCAAGGATGCATTAAATTGATCAAAAATACAAAATATTTCTATTTCAAATTTTTTTTTTAAATGAGAATTCTTTTCATTCTCTTTTCTTGCTGTTCTATTCAGCAAACAATAAAAACACTGATAAATGTTTGATTCAACATTGATAAAAAAATAATAAATTGATCAAAAATACAAAATATTTCTATTTCAAAATTTTTTTTGAAATAAGAGAATTCTTTTCATTCTCTTTTCTTGCTGTTCTATTCAGCAAACAATAAAAACACTGATAAATGTTTGATTCAACATTGATAAAAAAATAAGAAATGTTTCTTTATTATTGATTTCTGAAGGATCATGTGACACTAAAGACTGGAGTAATGATGCTGAAAATTCAGCTTTGTCATCACAAGAATAAATTACATTTTAAATTATATTAAAATAGAAAAATTATAATATTTCACAATGTATAATTGTACAGTATATCACAATATTCTTAACATTATGGTCAGTAACGATATATATCATGATATACAGGTTTCTTTGAAACATAATTTTAAAAAAGTACTGCATAATAATAGTCCTTATGACAATTTCCATTGTATCACAAATTTGAATAATTGAAATGTGAAAATAGCGTTTAATTAAATAGTTTTTTATTTACATTTTTTTGAAATGGTTTTATTTAAATAGTGAAACTGCTTTATAAATAAATAAATATTTAAAAATGCTCTATCAATTTTTGTTATTGCCTATCGGTTTATATTATATGTATGTCTGTATATTGTCCATGCATGTGTCTTTGGTAACTGTAGCATGAAGCCAGACAAGATTGGAGGCTATTCTGGCCAAAAATCATCCACTTAGGAAGAAATCATCTGTGCAACATATAAAGTGTTTTAACGTGCCATTTAGAGACAGATTCACCTAAAATAGGTTACTACAATAATAGAATATTTCACATAGATAACTCCCAGAATATACAGTAATGCATAAAACAAGCATGATGTAGAGTAATGTTCAGATACACAATAAAGGCCAGCGTGTTTTTCTGAGATGTGATGACATGAATATACATACAGTGGGTATAGAAATGTTATAAGAGTAAATACAGCTGGTGTCCGTCTTCTTTTCAGGCTGCAAAGCAACAAAATGTGATTAATTTATAGGGCGGTGATTCTTTTCTATACCCACTGTATACAATATATGCTGTCAGACACTAATCTTCACCTCTGTGTTTTTCTGCGCAGGTCCCGGTGTGCCACACACAGCCGTTTACAGCACCAGAGACGGAGAGTATGAGAGTGAGTCCTCAGTCTGTTACTGCATTTAAACACTATCAGCAGCTACGGACTCACTTTATCAGCTCTGCACCCAAGACTTTACTGGAACGGTATTTCTCACGATAGAAGACCTAGATATGCGCTTTATCAACCGTGTTCAGAAGCTGAATGTGCTTGAAGATAAACGCAACAATGTGAGATAAACATTTATCGATTGTGTCAGATGGATTGTTAGAACACCACATCCTCAGATTCTCTTCTGTAAGAGTGTGAGCTGAAGACAATGGAGGACGGCTGTGTGTTTAGCATAATTAGCAGTGATTATCAGCGGATAAAAAGCTGATCATTTCCCCAAATTTTCTTGGGGGAAAAGAGGAAGCGGGACAAAACAGACTCACTTGCTATAACTCGCTCTTGTGATTCACAGCAAGTCAGATGTGTTGATTTTGATGCCCATATTAACAGATAACAGTATTTTTACACCAAGAGGTCAGGGTTTAGCTGGTTAGTATGACCCTGTTAGCCCCTGCTGGTAATTGTTGTAACCACACCATTCAGGGGGGAAAAAGTGGCCTATTCTCTGACCGCCATTTAAAAATAGCCATGTATTCTGATGATAAACATATAATTAATATTTCATTATATTGTAGCAGATTTTTTTTTTTTTTACCAGTTTGCTTATTACTATACAATACTGTTCAGAAGTTTGGGGTCAGACTTTTTTTTTTTGTTTGTCTTTGAAAGAAATGAAGCAAAAATGCATTAAATTGATTAGTAAAGTGACAGTGAAGAGATTTATAATGTTCCTATCAAAAGATATCTATTTGAACAATTATTTTCTTTTCAATTTTCTATTCATCAAAAAATCCTCAAAAACATTATTATGGTTTCGACAAAAAATATTACGCAGCACAACTGTTTTTAACATTAATAATAAAATAAAACAATAATAATTTTTTTGAGCATCAAATCAGCATATTAGAATGATTTCTGAAGGATCAGGTGACACTAAAGACTGGAGTAATGATGCTGAAAATTCAGCTTTGCATCACAGGAATAAATTACATTTTTAAATATATTACAATAGAAAATATTTATTAATATAATAAATATATAAAATAAATATTTCACAGTATTAGTTTTTACTGTAAATAAATGCAGCTTTGGTGAGCATACGAAACTTTCAAAATCACAAAGAGATCTTACTGATCCCAAAATAGTGTATATTTTATAGTAGACAAATATATTTCTCTGACCATCTTCTGTATGTGATTCACTCAGAGCTGCTGGATGTGGAGCTCAATAAGCAGTTGAACACCACTGTGAACAACACGCAGATGCCCAAAGTAGAGTACAAAAAGATCAGCATAGATGACTACTGTGAGTATCTTACATCAAACTCTCCGAGTCCGTTTTCACAAAGCTGAGGATCGTCACAGCACAGTAACTTTCCCATCATTTGCACAGGTCTGAACATGCAGATTGTGAAGCCAGCGGGGTTTACAGAGACAGCTCACTACCCCTTACTGCTGCTGGTGTAAGTCACTCACACACACACACACACACACACAGAATAACTGATACATGATCCACACAGCGGATTAGTCCAGCAAAGACCGGACTAAAACCTGTACTAACATTAAAGCTGTGCTAATGTGTTTATTTTCTTAGTGTGACTACATCAGTGCTGCTGTTGCTTTGTGAAGTTGGTGTGAATCTCATGAAAACGCTCTCATTAAATGTACCTTGATGTCGATTTTTTTTGTGACATTATTTTCCTCCATTCTGGATGTCATTATATACACAGTATCTGAGCAACTGAGAAGGTAGTGATCAAAGTACATTTTAGAAATATCACCTGTCCAGTTTCCAAATCTATGTATCAGCATATGGGAGTCAAATTAGAGACTACAGGGACTCATTTCAATTTAAAGGAACACTCCACTATTTTTGAAAATAGGCTCATTTTCCAACTCCCTAGAGTTAAACAGTTGAGTTGTACCGTTTTCGAATCCATTCAGCCGATCTCCGGGTCTGGCGGTAGCACTTTTAGCTGTAAAAAGAAACTCTTTGGTGGTTGGAAAATGAGCTTATTTTCAAAAATAGTGGAGTGTTCCTTTAAGACCGCTCTGCTACTACAAGAAGAACAACTTAGGAAGAAAAACGAGGAAGGTTTGCAAGGGAAGGAACAAATGCAGCGAAGACAGGAGAAGTTATTAGAATAATTGGCGACCATGAAGAGCATAGCAGAGCAGAGAGAGGCTGAACTGACCAGAGTGAGGGCTAGAATGGACATCCTGGAAAATCAGAGGC